CTTGGACAACAGAGCGCTGCGACGCGGGTTGGAGAGGCACATCGGTCGAATCCAGTGTCACTCAGAGGATGGGCTAGTCTCGTGGAGGAACGCATTGAGGTGAGTATGATTTCATAATTTCATGTGATCTACCTATGGTGAATTTAATCTCCATGTACGATGTAAGCGGGCAAGACAGGAAGGTCGCTTCGGGAAGATCACTGGACGGGGTAAGCCAATAACACGGATAAGTGACGAGGGAAACCCATTTATTGCGCGGGAGGAGTTTCTGATGAACCGAATCGTTCAAAGGAATGGCGCAGCTCCGCCTTGGGTTGAGCTTCAAAGAGGTACTGTGTCATAATTTGTCGGCGTCGGGCCGAAACTAACTCTTCTCGTCCTCTAATTGAACATTTAATCACTGATTTCCCCTCCACATAGAATTGGACACGGCACTCGCATCCTTTCGCGAAATTGTCAAGCAATCCTGGACGCGGCGATGCATGCGTATTCTCTCCTCCGAACACCCACTTCCTCTCCTTGCCCGTATAACTCCAGCTCAGATAGCCTCCGTGCGCGACCCCATGTGGGAAGCGCACGAGGCTGGGTATCACAATACTGCACTTGCAGAGATCAACTCCCTTGTCAGGCGGTATAATGGTGTGGCGCCATACCCAGTAAGGCGGACTATTTATGAGAGGGAGCCGGAGTTGGAAAAGGTCTACTCGGAGTGTGTAGATGATGTGCTGCGGGAGATTGACGCCAGGATAAAGGAGGGAGGCGTGGTACGATCTGTGAGTGGTTTTACAGACGGTGAGGATGACAGAGGCGGTGGCGGAGCCGGTGGGTCTGCAAGGTATGATTCTCGCCCAGGGAGTTTCTGGGCCATGGTAAGGAAGTGGTTTGCTAAATTGGTGACATAAATTATGTTACCTACTTCTCAACCATATACCTCAGTAGATTCAAGGCATTTGCAGAGACGGCGGCTTGCGAGCCGGACTCGACTCACCCCAATTTGGCGGAATCGCGACGGTGTTCTTATGTCCCAACGAGTCCTACGACCTGTCATATTTTGTACTTCTGCATGTAAGTTGCACCAATATTAATTCAAATGGTGAAGCAAAATAGGCTCGTAACCAGATGTCGGTTTAACCTTAGTTATGGCGACTTTTCAAAGTTTCTTGACTGCACATCGCTCAACCTACCTAGCGGTGCCCGTTGACACGATATACAGTCACGATCACAGGACGGAAAAGTACGAGGAAAGTCAGAACACACGTGAAGGATGTAAGAGTAGTTTGATAGTGTACATACGAGATATTGTATTTGTTTCGTACAAAGAACGGAGAGAACGCAACAAAATGTACCTATCGTCCAACGAAGATTGAGAGCATAATGCCATGCACATGGTGTTAGTCATGCTGCCATGAATAACCCCCAGCCCATCCGCTCGAGCCATCTTTCTTGTTCTTCATACTCTCCAGCTATTTCCGGAATCCTTCGCAACCATGACTCTAGCGTCTCGGGTTCTTCGGCCTCACGGGGTTCTTCGGCTTTCATTTTCATTGCGGCGGTCTCAAACCAAATAGGATAAAAGCCAGCATCTGTCCACCCAGAAAGATAGATTTTATCGTCAGTCATAATAATGTTGTGCATGCCGATGTTGTTGTGAGTGAATTTGTAGGGAAAAGAATCGTCAAAAAACTGCCTCTCGGAGTCTGGTGGATTTTTCCCTGGGTAACAAAGACCTTCCACTAGATCGAGGAAATTCTTGAAGGACTGGAAGTCAGCGAATGGACCCCTTGGTTTATCGAAAAACTGCGGGCAGTGACAATATCGAGGCTCATGACCGACTGGCCCAGGATACTTTTGACGTGGGATGCGACGGAGTTGATCAATATATCATTGCAGAGTCCAGGCAACAGAGGACTGCTCTTGCTCGCTCAGTTCAGGCCAAGCTTGTGACAAATTACGTCCCTCGATGTAATCCATGACGATGTACCTGACCGCGCCGTGAGAAATTGTCCGAAGTATCTTGGGAGTAGGAATTGTGGTTCTTTCAGTGACCAGATCGATCGCCGACCTTTCATCCTCTATCTCGAAATCGATGGCCCGCTTTACTACTGCGTTGGAGAATATCCGTTTCTCGCCAAAACGCATTGGAATTTTCGACCTTTTGAACATCTCAACGACTGTTTCGTCTCCCTATAGAAAACATCAAGGTTTATGACATGGAATGATGTCCACCCAAACTGACGATATGCTTTTCATACTTTGGCAAAGGTTTCTCAGAACTACTGTGTTTGTCAATCTAGCGGATCGCAGAGGAGCTGACTGTGGTTTTCTCACCGCGGTGTGGTCATCGTCAAAGCGGTCAGTAACGCCACAGCAGACTCAGATGATGACTCATCCGGACCATGCACACTCACAACACTTTTTGAACCGCCGCGGTCGTGCAAAATGCTGATACACAAATTTCCGGATGAAATACTCGGGGAGATTGTCTTTCATTGTCTACAAGTGTCAGACAAGGACTTTTCGGCGTGCGCTCCTTGCAGCGAGAGCCCTTTTAGGGCGAAGAAACAGTCTTCCTCCTTGATTCTCTTGGTGTGCAAACGATGGTGTCGTGTTGCGACGCTGCTGCTCTACGAAAGTCGTTATAATCCGTTCTACTGGACAAGCACAAGCACTCTCAGATACTTTGAAGGCAAACCCTCAGTTCGGGACATATGTCAAGAGAGTGAGGATGGAAGGCGGGTTCGGCAAGGCGCCAGGGGTTTTTCTCGCGGCGACACCCAATATTTGCGATCTGTATCTCACTCTCGATGTATTCTCTGATGAAGGAGTTAGCGGTCTCTGTCGCGCACTTCCGCTCCTTAATCCACGTCGATTGATATTGTCTTGTGGTGGCAGACTCAGGAACGGGAAGACCAGACTCCTTTGGGAGAAGGTAGAGGGCGGCATACGGGCGTGGAAAAGCTTGGTATGCACCCTCGTGTAATTCATACTATTTTTTCACCTTTCCTGCTATAGAAGCGTGTTGAACTACTGTCTAATGATTATCTCGAACCTCTCAGAGCGGCTGGGCTATCCAAGGCATTAACGGCTTCCTCGGTGACGGATATAACGATGCAAACATTGGACATAGACTTTTTCAATCGACTCTCTTCCATGACCTCGCTTAAAGTCATTCGCGTTGTCTCTGCCTATTATCCCGCGGACTTCGTAATCAACTGCAGCCCAAAGGTCCGTCAGCTTATCCGCATCGAACAAACAATTGAACCGAAGGTTTTTTGAGCACCCATTAACTGCCTTTGCTGACGATAGGATAGTGCCTCTGCTCAGAACATCCAACCGTGGTTGAATCCTAAACCTGGTTTCACACCATTAACAAATGTGCCGATAGATGTTTGGAGCGAAATAATCTCCTTTGCGACGTTTCCTATGTCTCTCCATCCTAGCGTGGCCGATTTTACTTTGGAAGATTTACCAATGTGGTATCCATACACCTCCAACCGGTTGAAATATGGCTCTGCCACACTGACAGAAAGTTGGCTTACGTTTAAGAAGACCGCAGAGAGACTGTCATTGGTCTCGAAATTTTTCTATGTAACGTTTTGCTCTAAATGGTGCATAACTGTCATGAATCTTTTTACAGGCAATCGTGCGACCATATGTGTATCGTGTCATCCACATATTTGACATATCTGATCTTCGAAACTTCTGTCATTTGGTGTCCAAAGAAAGCGGTATCGGTCCCCTCGTCAAAATTCTTATCATTCCTTTCGACCTCCAACTACAACTGGACTACGACAGGCTAATATTATATCTTTTTGAACGTCTCACCGGATTGGAGCAATTCATAGGCCGTTGCAACGCAGAACATTTGGACGTGTTGTGCCGCTCTGCTGCCTCCACGCTCCGCAATCTTGAGGTAAGTTTTCGTAGGGCTCACGATGACAACGAAGGCTTTTGCGGCTTGAATATGGTATCGCCGTCAAGTTTACGGTGGGGGCAGCCGGAAGTTGATATGACTTCGATGTTTCCGGAAACATGTGACACCATGAAGGTTAGCGTGAACCTCCGTGAAGAAAAGCTTTTTCGCACAATTAAGTGAGTAAACTGTACTCCGTATTTTCCGTCACCAACTTCGTTGAGGCAGGACCACAAAACTTCGAAAATTG